CTTTGAGCTGTGGTGCTGGAGAAGAGTATTGAGAATACCGTGGACTGCTAGAAAAACAAACAGATTTGTCCTGAAAAGGGTCAAACCGAGTGGCTCATTGGAGGCAAGTATTCTGAGGCTCCGTCTAACATACTTTGGACATGTTGTGAGGAAAGACCGGTCCTTAGAAAGGGACATCATGCTTGGGAGAGTGGAGGGACAGCGCAGGAGAGGAAGGCCCTCTATGAGGTGGACTGATTCAGTGACTGGGAAAATTGGGATGGGAGTGTCAGAGACAGTGCGATTGGCACAGGACAGTGGAGTTTAGGCCTGTTGTACATAGGGTTGCTATGAGTTGCAAGCGACTCGATGGCACATAACAACAACAACAACAACAACAACAACATCAAGACCCATTGTGTATTTGCCAAATAACCCAAATTTCTCATTATGCGAATTTTAAATTGGCATAGAATGGTCAAATAGAGAAGGAGGTTGGGGCAAGAGAAGAGGAAATAGCTGAATGGATGAAAGGCTACAGCATAGAAGGAAGTACACAGTTTTTCCTGAAACAGGAAAAACTAGTTCAGAGCATGTTTCTTTGGAGACTTATTTTAATGCTGAATATGATAGGCGATACATATGCTTAAAAAAGAACACTTAAAAAGGTGAAGGGGAGGAAAGAGAGGGAATAAAAGTATGATAATATTTAAATAAAGAGGTAAGAGGAAGAACTCAGTTTAAAAAGGATACCTTTAGGTAAATTCATTACTGCTATTACTTTGGAAATTCACATTACTATTTCTATGCAATTATTTAGATAATTGTTTTCAGAGTTAGCATTTTTTTGTGTGTGTGGAAAATCAGGCCCCAATGAAGCTACTTGTTTATATTTGTGATAGAGCTTGCCACTCTGTCCTATGAAATATGCCAATGACCCAAATAAATCACTAACAGCTTACCGAAAGGAAATAGAGGTAGCGAAGTGAGCACAGCACAGTTCTTTTAGCTGAAACACCTTTGAGGGAAGGGAGAAAGCACATTATATAAATGTATGTTCTCCCTGTTGTCTGGAAGGTCTAGTTGGTATTCCCTTTATAAAGCTAGGGTGCTAGGATTCAGCTTGTCTTGTATTCTGAACTATAATTGCAGAGATGCCCTGCAGGGATTCATTGATCATACTGATAATCCTTGGTCAGTGTCCTTGGCCACACGAAGTAACATCATTCTGTTTTTTCTTTCTTTTACCAGAGTCAGTATGTTCACGAGCTATGCTCATTAAATTACCATTTCTTTGGTGTAAGACAGCAGAGAAGTAAAATAACTAGACACTATTATTCTTCATCATCTATGATTGGAAAGTAGTATGATCTTTACCCTCATGAAAAAACAATAACAAACTATTTAGACTTCAGTCTGTAACTTTATAATATTGTATGATTTTCAGTTTCTCCTTATGCCTTAAAAGGCTAATTTTGATGATAGGAAACCTGCAAATCAATGTCCTCTGGGTGCATTCATTCTCAAACAGCTATATTATTAGCATAATCTTGGATAATTCTTAAAAATATAATTAGGTGAGTCTTCCTAGATTTGTTTCATTGATTATGCAAAGGCATTTGACTGCGTGGATCATAACAAACTGTGGCTGACTCTGAGAAGAATGGGAATCCCAGAACATTTAGTCATGCTAATTCGAAACCTATACTTGGACCAAGAGGCAGTCGTCAGAACAGAGCAGGGCAACACTGAATGTTTCAAAATTGGGAAGGTTGTGCACCAGTGATGTGTCCTATCTCCATACCTTTTCAACCTGTATGCAGAGCAGATTATCCGAGAGGCTGGGCTCTATGAGGAGACCCGTGGCATTAGGATTGGTGGATTATCTATCAACAATCTCCGTTATGCAGATGACACAACCTTGCTCGCTGAAACTGAGGAGGACCTAATGCACTTACTGTAGAGGGTCAAGGACTTCAGCCTTCAGTATGGACTGAGGCTCAATGTCAAGAAGACAAAATTCTCACCACTGGACCAATTGGTAGCATCAGGATGGATGGCAAAGAGATTGAGATTGTTCACAGTTTCAGTTTGCTTGGCTCCACAGTCAGCACTCTTGGCACCAGCAGCCAGGAAATCAAAAAACATATTGTGATGGGAAAGTCTGCTGTTAGGGACCGCTCTAAAGAACTCAAGAGCAACGGTGTGCCTGATACAGGCCATGGTCTTTGCAATCACTTGTTATGCATCAGAGAGCTTGACAATGACTAGGGAGGAGAGAAGGACAATTGACGCCTTTGAGCTGTGGTGCTGGAGAAGAGTATTGAATGTACCATGGACTGGAGAAGAGTATTGAATGTACCATGGACTGCCAAGAAAACAGATTCATCCTAGAGAGGGTTAAACCAGGCTACTCCTTGGAGGCAAAGGTTCTGGGGCTTCGTCTGACATACTTTGGACATGTTGTAAGGAGAGACAGGTCTTTGGAGAGGGACATCATGCTTGGTAGGGTGGAGGGACAGCTCAGGAGGGGAAGACCCTCTATGAGGTGGATTGATTCAGTGACTGGGGTAATCGGGATGGGTGTGTCAGAGGCAATGCGATTGGCACAGGATAGAGCAGGGTGTAGGGCTGTTGTACATAGGGTCGCTATGAGTCGCAAACGACTCGACGGCACATAACAACAACAACAAATGTAGATTAAACGTCTTATGATTTTAACAAAGCTGTTAGGGGACTCTGATTTACAGCCATCCTTGAGGTTTACTAGTAGAGTTTCTAATATTTCCTGAGAACTAGAATAAGTGAGGGCATTTATTGACTATCTTATACGACATCACAGATTTACAATAGTAAAAAAAAAATTATTCCCTTACTGTTTTGAACATGAATGGTGTACAGCTAGCAGTAATGATCTAGTAGTAATGAAAGCCAAAGTGCTAGATGAAAATAATGCTGGCTGTGCTGGTTAAGTTTATATATTAGCTTGGCTGAGTCACGATTCTCAGTTGTTTGGCAGCTCATTTATGATGTGATTTGGCAGTTATGTAATTATGTAGCCATCTTCAAATTTTTGATCTGAGGAGTTAATCTCCATTTTTCTATAATTCCATTTTTGAGTAACAACTTGGTCTTTGGAACCTAACCATGCTGGTATGTGAGGAGTGGATGTCACTAGTTCTGGCCATTACAACTTAATCACTGTGTGGTCTTCTGCAACCATTTAGATTCTTTAAAAGATACTCCCTCACTTGCTTCATCTAGTTATTTTATGGACAAAGCAAAGTTGGTATAAAACTCTGCAAATTCATATTTGATACTCAGTTTTGCTATTTACCTATTTTTATATTGACTGCTAGAAACTTGGGACCAAAGGTCAATGTTTGACAATGTGAGTGATTATACTTTCAAAACTACTCTTAGTAGAATTATTCATCTAGTTCGTAATTCTTAACACAATGAAAAAATGTCCAATTCATTAGCATAAATGATCTAGAAGTAAAATGTTATTCATTAAAGTAGTTTATAGTAGAAAATAGCCTTGTCTTTTTTCAAGATTCCTTTTACATGCTTTCTGTGTTTGTAGTTCAAGCTATAACCTCAACTGATTTATCTTTGATATTTTGGTGTTTTTCATTTTTTTAAACAGGAATTCCTCCAAGATAATCATCTCTTCCATGGGGATGTGGCAGCCAGGAATATTCTGATCCAGTGTGATCTCACTGTCAAGCTCTGCGGACTGGGCCTGGCCTATGAAGTCCATGCCCACGGAGCCATCTCCTCTACCCGAACCATACCTCTCAAGTGGCTTGCCCCAGAACGGCTTCTGCTTAGACCTGCTGGCATCAGAGGAGATATGTACGATTTGCTCTTGCATTTTGAATTTCTTCCCTTCATGACCTGACTGTCCTCTGGTTGATAAAAAGCATTGGATTTATTGCCAATTATGCCTGCAAATAAGATTTCTATGTAAATGTCAGACATATTACTCTGAAGCAGAAATATTATGTAACAGAATTTGTATTTAGTATGTGGTTACAATTCTCTTCAGTGTCTTTACAAGTATTCTATGTTGTATTAAACTAAAAAACAAACAAACAAGAAACCAAACAACTCAAGAAACATACAACAAAGTAAACCCATTACCACTGAGTTGGACCAATTCATAGCTGACCCTCTAGTGGATTTTCAGAGGCTGTAAATCACCTGGGAGGAGAGTGCCTATCTTTCTTTTGTGGAATTTCTTTCAAGCATGTAAAACCTCTGAATTAACAGCACAACGCCTTATGGTCTAAGCCAGTTTCTCTGTCAGTTTTGATAACCTAAGTAACAAAATTCGGTGATCTAAGTACCAAAATTGGGTGACTTTAAAGAACATATTGCATTTTCTTATATTTAGGAAGCTAGAAGTTTGAATCCAGGCCAATGACTATAAGAGAAGGATCTTTTTTTTTTTTTTTTTTTCAATTCTGGAGAAGGCCATTGGTTCAGGTCTGTACTAATCTGTTGAAAGAAGACCAAAACCTTTTCTATGTAGAGCTACAGAATAGTTTCATGTTTTGTCTCTGTATAAATAGTGTCCATAATGAATTATTTTCTTTCGTTTCAGCTAGGGTGATTCTAAGTAGAGTGAGAAACTAGAAAACAGCTCTGAAGCAACTTAACTGTGAACTTTTACTGTTATTTTTCTCAAATGTTTGACAGTTGTCTGTAGTTGACTGTGTGGATCATAACCCATTATGGTTAAATCCCATTGGGAATTTTCAGGACACTGAATTGTGCTAATATGAAACTTATATGGAGAACAAGAGGCAATTATCCAAACTGGAATAGGGAGCAGTGCATGGCTTAAAATCAGGAAATCAGGTGTACATCAGAATTGTCTTCTTTCTCTAAACCTATTCAACCAGTCATGCTGAGCAAATCATAAAGAAACTGAACTAAATTAAGAAGAAAGTGGCATCAGGATCAGAGGAAGACAACAATAATCTGTTATGCAGTTGACACTATCTTGCTTATAGAAAGTTAAGAAGATTTGAAGCACTTAACTGAAGAAGGTCAGAAACCCCAGCCTTCCATAAGGGTTGCATGTCAACATCAAAAAAACCCAAACAACCTCACCAATGGACAAAAGACCTCACTAAAATGCTAAAGAGCAAGGACATCCATTTAAAAATTAAAGTGCATCTGATCTAAACCATGTTTTCAGTTGCTTTGTATGTATCTGAAGGTTGGACAATGAATAAGAAAATGCCTTTGACTTATGGTGTTTGAATTGATGCCTTTGATTTGAGAAGAGAGTAGTGTTAGAATATTATGATGTTTGAGAGTATCTCATGGATTGCAACAATGGGCTCAAGTGTGTCAGGGATGATGAGAATGGCACACGGTAGGACAGATTCAATTCTGTTGTTCATAGGGTCACTATGAATCATACTTGACTCAAAGACACCTAACAACAATTATAGTTGCCTCATGCATAGTTAATTTGACAGCATTTTTTTTAAAAAAAGTATTTTCAGACCAAAAGGATTTACCTTTGTTTTCAGAGAGGTAATACTTGCTATATTTATATTTAATAAGCTTTCACAGTATTCAATTAATTCTATAACTACAGTTAAATGAGGGGTCCCACTCTTCCAGAGAATATCATGCTTGGAAATGTAGAGGGTCATTAAAAGAAAGGAAGACCCTCAACAAGATGGGCTGAAACAAAGATCTTGAGGATGGCCTACAGTCAGGTAGAGTTTTGTGCTGTAGTATACATGGTCACTGTGAGTTGAAGTCAACCAACTTGACAGCACCTAACAACAGTTATATGTACAAGTGGTTTAAACAGAATTGTAAAGAGTGTAGTTTCACTTTTGGTAATCAAGTGGCTTGAGAAATATACAAATACAATGTAGCATATCCTACTACTAAGGTTTATAACAAGCTGTTGGTTAATGTGTGAGTAATTTCAGAAACCTTTATAATTGTTTCACTTCACTGGCATCTGCTTTAAAAAAAATCTGAGGATAACAAATGTCACTGGGAAATATTGCTCACTAATGATGATGCTATATAATTGAGAAAGATAAGAATCATCCAAATATATTGTCTAAAGAGATCCTTATTCCAACTATTTATAAAGCCTACTCTGCTAATTTTTTTTCCCCTAGACCTAAACACTTTGATATTTACAGGAAATTGGTAGCCTGATAGTAAGAAGCTGTGCTGCAATCTGAAAGGCACAAGATTTTGAATCTACCAGCTGCTCTTTGGGAGAAGGATTGGCAGTCTCCTGCTTGATTCATTGCATAGGAACAACAACAGCAGTAGATAAGTGATAGGCCTTTCTTGGCTTTCTGTTAGAAATAATAGCAGGAAATTTAGCGGGATGAATAGAAAGGCTGAAAAAGATGCAGTGGGTTGGTTATTCCTTTATGCTTGGATGAACGTGTTTGTGTGCAGGCACCCTTTAGCAAATACTTCTAGAAAATGGCATCAATTAAAGTGAGAAATAGAAGGAAGGAAATGTAGGCCTATTTTCAAAGAGTTTATACCCTAGGGTGATTAGGCAGAAATGTTTTTTAATGGGCAATTACTTTGCATATTTTATCAAACATCTAACATTGGTTTCAATTCTCCTTCATTCCTTTCTCTGTGGGGTTCTTTACTGAGGATTGCTGAAGATTAAGTGAGTCATTTTTTAAAAAGCAAAACATTTCTTTTTTTTTTATTAAACAATTTCCTTTGTTTCTTTGGCAGCTGGTCCTTTGGAATCCTCCTCTATGAGATGGTGACTTTAGGTAAGGATAATCCTCAAAGCAGTATGTCTGTAACCAAAACCCAAGGGCATCGAGCCAGTTCTGGATCCTAGCAAGCTTATGGTTCAGAGTAGAACTGCCTCAGAATTTTTTAAGGCTGTAAATATGTTAGGCAAGCCAACTTCCACATCTTTCTTTTTTTTATTTATTAAAATTTATTAGTTTTAATGAACATTTACAGATATTTCGGGTTTTCATTCATTCATTGTTGCACTGTTTTCTCCAACCTCATCCCCAGTTCATTCTTCTTCTCCCCCCCATGTCTGTTTTAATTGTCCAATTGCCACAGTGCTTGTCAAAGCCAGTTCTGATTAATCTCCTTTGTCAGTGTGTCCCTTGCCATTCC